AGCCATTCAACAAAACGATGGATCCTACCTGATGCTCCTCTAGAGGGAGCATCCATGCATCCCCAGCCATGCATATGAACTTTCAAATTAGCTTCTTGTAACATTTCATTCTTAAATATCAACATGGGACAACCAAGGATCACCAAATTTATGAAAAAAGACCCTATAACAAAAGGCGGGGGTGGGAGGGGAGGGAAGAACTCAGAGGGAAGAGAAATAAAAGTGGAAAAAGACGAAAACTTTAAGAAACTTCAACAACCTCAGAAAGACTTTGTATCCCTAAAACAGTAACAGAGCCCTGGTGGTGCGGTGGCTTAAGAGCTCAGCTACTAACCAAAAGGTTGGCAGTTCAAATCCACCAGCCACTCCTTGGAAACCGTATGGGGCGGTTCTACCCTGTCCTATACGGTCGCTATGAATTGGGATCAATTCAATGGCAAAGGGTTTGTTTTTGTTTTGGTTTTTAAGACAATAACAGGAGGCCATAAAAAATGGAAATAAGGCAGAGCTCTTAAATATTAAACATACAAAAATAAAATTGTCAACTGAGAAATTACAATATAAAATTGACTATACTTGTACAGTTTAATCATTCAATGAATATTTACTGACTGCTTGCTACTTTTGAGAGACAGTTTTAGTAGGTAAATTGGGAGAATATCATGTCCTGGAAGACAATTAAAAAATATTTATCAAGGAAGCATGTGACAAACTTGTAAAAAAAAGAGACTGTAAATGCTGCTGCTAAGTACGATGACCATTTATTATTTAAACTAGGACACCTGAAAGTTAAAAAGGGAACTACTAATAATTATGGTAGAACACATGCTGAAAGAAAGTGCTGAAAGGAAAAAAAAACTGTCAATCTAGAATCCTCTATTCAATGAAAATAGAAAATATATTTCCAAAATGAAGGTAAGAAATGCTACAGGCTGAAGGGAAATAATACCAGATAGAAACCTTCTATAGGAAGGAATGGAAAACATCAGGAAGGGTAAATATGGCAAAATATATAAAGGCCTTAAAAAAAAAATTATTCTGATACACACACACCAATAAATCTCTTTAAAAGAATATTGATACTGCACTCCCTTAAAAAATCATCTATACGAGACCAAATAGTCAACAATTACTTTAAAAAAAGATGAAAAGGTAAGGGGCACAAAAACTAGATTACTGGAAACAGAACAACCAGAACATAAACAATGAGAATGTTCACACATTGTGAAGAACGTAACCAATGCCACTGAACAATCTGTGTAAAAATTGTTGAACGGGAACCTAATCTGCTGTGTAAACTGCCACCAAAAACACAATAAAGTATTATTTAAAAAAAAAAAAGAATATTATGTGTGAATACTTAACAATATACTGTAGGGTTTATAACATGAAGAGGTAAAATACACAGAAGCAAATGCAAAAGGAAAGAGGATAATAAGAAGGTTGTTAGTATTACTGTTTGTGAAGTGATAGCATATTTTTTGAAGGCAAATTCTGATAACTTAAAGATGCATATTGTAATCTCTAGAACAATCACTAAAAAGCACACAAAAAGGCATAATTAAAAATTCAACACAGGAAATAAAATGGATGACTAATAAATACTTGATTCACCCAAAAGATGATGAGGAGGAACAGAGGAATAAAGAGCAGGCAGAACAAATACAAAAAAAAATTGTAGATTTAATCCCAAACATTGTTAATAATTACATTAAATGTAAATGGACTAAGCACTCAAATAAAAACACAGAGATTATCAGAATGGATTTTTAAAAACAGAACCAAAAAACATCAACTACCTAGGAATAAATCTAATGAAAGATGTCTATGACCTCTGCACTGAAAATTATAAAATACAGCTGATAGAAATTAAAGAAGACTGGAGTTAATGGAGAGCTATAACGTGTTCATGGATTGGGAGACTCAATATTGTTAGGATGTTCATTCTGCCAAATGGATATATATTCAATGTAGTCCCAATTAAAATTTAAGCAGGATTTTTTAAAAGTAAACATTGACAAACTGATTCTAAAATTTCTATGAAAATGCAAGCAACTTAGAATAATCAAAATAACTTGAATGACTGCTCTGACCAGGATCACAACAGAGGGCTCTGGACAGAGCTGGAGAAGGATGTAGAGCATAATTCTAACCCACAAAAAAAAAAAGACCATATTTACTGGCCTAAAGGAGACTAGAGAAACCTCGAGAGTATGGCCCCCAGACACCCTTTTAGCTCAGTGGTGAAGTT